TACTCTCAGCGTTTTCGGAATATGTGATTCCTAGCACCTTAGCGCGACCTCCGATTATCTCTATTACTTCAAAAAAGTGCAAAGAGTAGTAGTATAGAAATACAAATATGTAAAATTGAATATAAATGATTCTTCTCTTGCTGTCAACAAAATCGCAATATTCGTAATTTAAATTTTTGTTCTACTATAAACTGAAATCTAGTTTTACAACTCTTAATTTAAAATATATTGATGGGAACTTGATGTTACCACACATTTTCTCCTTAAGTATAAAATCAGAATAATGTAACGTTGAGCATATTTCTTACATAATCTATTTCACAATAGATTATTACAAATGCTTTATTTCGATTGTTCTTATTATTAACATTCGTTTCTTGAAAATTTACTTGAATGATGATCTGAATCTTTACCAAGAATAATGGCTGATTGTCCTTACAAACTGTTTTCACTCGTTTTGAAATTTATGCGTCTTAATTTATTCAAAATGTTAGAGGAATCATATAGTTAAAACTTTCAAGAACCTTCTCTAAGCGATTACAGAACTAAACATTGATTTGTTGAGCTAAACAGCGAACTGTGTGTGGAGCTTACAAGGATCCGCCTCTGTCCCGACGAACAAGGAACGGAGGATGCCTGAAACAACGCGCTGGGGTAATCGAGACGACAGGAGGACGTTCCGAATAAACAACAGTTCATAAACATAGTTTCGTAACACGTAGAACGGTGCACACTAGAGCTTCAAACTTATAGAATAAACATTTCAATAAAAACCGGTAACATTTTGCAATAAATTGTTTATCTCTATACACTGCTAGGGCTACGTGTAGCACCAGTAAAGGCAAAGTGAAAGAAAGGTGCTTCAATCTCAAATACTATTCTACTTAAGGGTGCTGTAAAATTCACTAAAATGGGTTAATTTTACTAAATGCATAATCTATAAATAAACCATTATAAAAGAGTTTCTAAATATATTCTCCGACACTGAAAGATCATAAAATCACAAACGAAAGAATTGTTTACTCACAATGCAGATTCTTGGCTGCGAATCAAAAACTAAATCAAACACGGCCATCAAGAAGCTAGTTCTCAAATAACAAACCTATATATTTGATGTACGGCTTAAGCTGAAAAAGTGAATGATGCTTTTGAACATCAGAAGAGTACGTATAAACGAGTTCGCGATAACGTTAATATTTTTGTTTTAAATGATTACCGTTGAAATGATCTTTTAAATTTACACATGATAGCCGTACATGAAATAGCATATTCTATATTCTTTTGTAACTCATTATTCCATTCATAATAGCCATTAAGACATTGAAAATAATTACTACGTACACAGACAGATTATTTGAAGTCTCTAAAATTCAGAAATCGTATGTCATCAATAGCTCTAAAGATGCGTAGAAGAGAACATGTTCAGCAATTCGAAGTACCGTCTGCACAGCAAAACTAACAAAAAATAGGAATCGGCTGCAAGGACCACTAATCTACAAGAGCGATGTCAAATCACTCTGAAATACTATTGAAAGTACTCATGAAAGCTTATTTACAGTTGCTACCGTGTAAATTAAATAAGCAGTACCGAAAATTTATAGCAAAAGTCTAGGCGAAAACGTAGTCAATTCGACTTATTTCTCCTACAATTAGAAGTTATACGTATCATTTAGTATACACGATTTAAAATGTGTCTATTAAACTACAAAACTAGTGTTATGTATCTATACTTAATCTGGTAACAGTGTCTCTTGCACTTGTGCAACTGTATATTATTTATCATAAAATTAAAATATATTATATTTATTATAAATATAACATTTAAAATAATATATTCCTCTCACGATTCAACAGTATTTCAACTATATATCAATATGCAGAAAAATATACAATATCCTACAACGCCATGAATATTTCTAGCCGCGTAATACGATACAAGAAAAATATATTCTAACACTTGTGCAAGTCGTTAAACGCAGGTGCACAGACAGAAGAGGGAAGAAACATGGTGACCATGCGAATATTTTTTTGTTCATAAATATATTACTCTTATTACAATTATCATATGTCGCATTTTTCATAAATATTTTTAAAATCCTGCATTACATTTATTTCACTCGCAAACTCCAGGAACTAATCAAGTACATTACTACACACCGTGAAATAAATCAATAGTTCTTTCGTCAAATTTGCGGATAAAAGGTAATCTCTTGCGGGTTCATAGGCACAATGGCAAAGACTGTACCTGGCAATCCCGACAGCTTAATTTATTAATCAAAATAAATGTCTAGCGTTAATAAATTACTCACGAAAATCATGTAACATTTACCATTAATAAAGAATAAAAAAATATACATTCTTCGCCATCCCAGAATAACTTTACATTCACGAGCCTGGCAGAAAGGTTTACTATCCTAGAACTCACGAAAAGCAGCTTTTAACAACGATCGAGCCGCAACAGAAACGCGGCGGGGTGAGGTGGGGTTGATTGAGCTCTCAAATGTAAAAACAAAAAATTAAATACACCGTCCGGTAGAAGCTCTGAGTTACTAATTGACCATTTTGAGTATTTCTTTTAAAGAAGGAAATTTTGAATCTAACGTCCCCCGAAAACGGTCGAGTATTTCTGCCCGGGATGCATGTCGAGGTGCCCAATCGGCGTGCGGGGATGAGGCGAGTCACATGGCGAGCATGGCGAGCAGCGAGAGCAGCAGCGCAAGCGCCAACCCCAGCGCAGTCAGGGGTTCGAGCCCCGCGGCCCAGCGCGGGGCCGCCGCCGCCTCCTCACCTTGGGGCGCGGTGGCGGTGGCGGCGGAGGCGGAGGCGGGAGGCGACGGGCGCGTGGCCGCGTCCACCTGCCG